TGATAAGTTACTCTCCAACTTATTTGGGGGGAAGGGATTTTTTTGTATTAGCTTTTTTGAAACTTATTTCATACAATGCATTTTGACTGTATTATTTCTTTCTCTGCCAACTCCTTCCAGATCTTCCCTACTTCTAAATCCCTCCTACCACCCTCTATGCCCAATTTCATCTTTCTTCCTCTCAAAAAAACAAACAAACTTCAAACCAAGCAAAAAAGCAAAAATAACAAAACAAAACAAAAAGCACACAAAAGCCATGGAATGTATTTGCTGCTGATTCCTCCTGATGATGAGCTTTGCCTTGGAGTGAGCTTGATATACTCAGTGACACTCCAAGGGAAGGAAAGCCCTGTCCCTCTCCCCGAAGGTAGCAATTGCAAGTAGCTTCCTTGTGGATAAAACTTTGTGTCCACTTCCCTTCTCTGTGCGGGGGGGGGGGGGGGGGGGGGGGGTGGCCGCAAGGAGGCTCTTGGGGGGGGGGGGGGGGGGGGGGGGGGGGGGGGAGGGGGGTTGTCTAATTTGAACTTGTGCGGGTCTTGTATATGCTGTGCTGTTAGTTCATACATGCATCGGTCTCCTTGTGTCTGAATGACACTGTTTCTTTGGAGTCATCCACTACCTCTGGCTCTTATGACCTCTCTGCCTCCACTTCCTCATAGATCCCTGAGGTTTCCGGGGAGGGTTTGGTGAAGACATCCCAATGAGGGCTGAGTGCTCCAAACTCTCTCACTCTACCCACGTTATCCAATTGTGGGTCTCTATGCTAATCACCATCTACCACAAGAGGGTTGAGCAGCACAGTGATGTATGGGTATAGCATTATTTCATCAGGAGTCATTTCATTGCTGGGTTCCTCTAATAGAATAATCATGGGAGGTTTTCCCCTAGGACTCACAGCCTAGCCTAGTGTCAGGTTCTTGGCCACGTTAGCAGTGTCAGGTACGAGTTCCATTGTACGAAATGGACCCTTAATCCAATCAAAACCTGGTTGGATCGTCCCACACATTTTGTGCCACTATTGCAGGCCGATGCTGCCTTAGGTCACATGGTTCCTGGTTGTGTGAGACAGATTACTTCTCTTCTTCCATAGGATGCATAGTAACTTCCAGTACCATAAGCACTAGTCAGTACAGGTGATGTTTCTAGCTGGGCAGAAGCTCCATGACATATATAAGTGCAATAGGACCTTACTGTCGTGGGGGGGTGGACGGGGGGTAACCACCAGCATGGACAGTAGTCTGTGGTTTGGGGCAGGATCTGCACGTCTCCACTAGCCAACAGCTCAACATGAGGTTACCCATTCCTGGTACTAAAGGTTTAATTTGGTAGTATATCGTGGCTATTTGGGCACTGTCTTCTGCCATCATATGTTGATCCCACTCTCTTCCATACGTGTATGAGTTTCTATAGCACTAAGTGTCCGTATGGTTTTTCTAAAAGACTTGTGTTAGTTGCCCTTCCCCATATACCCTCCTTTACCCTGCTCTCTCACTCCTTCCCCCATTAATCCTCCTATTCTAGTTTATATATATGTGTGTGTGTGTGTGTATTTACATATACATATATATGTATGTATATGTATGTATGTAACTATGTCCACTTTCTTAAGAGATCTCCTCCCTAGCTCATTACAAGGTCCCTAACCTCTGCAGTTATTCGGATTATAAAACATATTAAAAGCTTAATCGCTAACATCTATATGTAAGACAAAACATGTAATACTTGTCTTTGGGAATCTGGTAATGCTGCACTCAGGGTGATTATCTCTAGCTCCATCCATTTGCCTGAAAATTTTATAATTTCTGTTTCTGTTTCTGTTTGTTTGTTTCTCTGTGTAGTCTTGGTTGTCCTGGGGCTTACTTTGTAGACCAGGCTAGCCTTGAACTCACAGAGATCCATGTGCCTCTGCCTCCCAAGTACTGGGATTAAAGGCAAGCCCAATCACACCCTGCCATAATTTCATTTTTAACCATTAAATAATATTCCATTGTGTGAGTGTAGCGTCTTTTCATCGTCCATTCATCAGCTGGTAAACATCTTGGCTGTTTACAATGTCTGGCTATTATGAATAGAGCAGCACTGAACATGGATGAGCATGTGGGCATTCCTGTACTGACAGAGTCCTTTGTGTATGTGCCCAAGAGTGGTATCGCTGACTGTTGTGGTAGATTGCTTTTTCAGCCTTTTGAGGAACTTCCACACAGGTTTCCATAGGGACTGTACCAGCTTTCACTTTGAGTAAGTGTTCTGCTTTCCCCACAGCCTCACCGGTCCACACTGTCATTTGTTTTACTGATCTTGGCCATTCTGATTGACGTAAGATAAAATCTCAAAGTAGTTTTAATTTTCACTTTTCAAGTGGCTAAGAATATTAAAATTTCTAAGTGTCAGCCATCTATGTTTCATCTTTTGAAAAACATTTAGCACTGTAGCCCTTTTTTTTTTAAATTGAATTGCTTTCTTGATGTTCAGGTTTTGTTTAGGTTTGGGGGTTGGTTGTTTTTTTTTTTTTTTGGTGTTTTTTGTTTGTTTGTTTGTCGCTGCTGTTGCTAGTTGTTTTTTAGTTCTTTGTGTATTCTAGAAACAAACCCTACATCAGATGGAGAAATGATAAGTAATTTTTTCTGTTCTGTAAGTTCTGCTTTGCTTGAATGACGGTGTATTTTGCAACACAGAAGTTTTTTAGCTTCAAGAGTTCCATTTATTAATTGTTGGTCTTAGTGCCTGTGCTTTTGCCTCCTGGTCAAAACTGTGCCCAGGGGATTGAGTGAATATACCAATTTCTTTCCTACATGCTTCAGAGAATTTGGTCTTGTGTTTAGATCCTTTATCTATTTGGAGTTGAGCTTTTTGTGCAGGGTGATATATATAGATATAGCTTCATTTTTCTACATGTTTGAAGCTTTCAGTTTGACCAGGACCATTTGTTGAAGATGCTGTCTTTTCTCCAGTGTGTGTTTTTTCTCCTTTTTAAAACTCAGATGTCTATAGCTATGTAGTCATGCGTGGGTCTTCATTCTATTTCATTGATCATGGTGTCTGTTTTTATGCAATACTGTACTGATTTTGTGACTATAGCTCTGCAGTACAGTGCAAAATCGGGGATGCTGACTCATCTAGCCATTCTTTTATTATTCAGATTGCTTTTGCTAGCTGGGATTTTAAGTTTCCCTATGAAGTTGAAGGCTGTTCTTGTTGGAATTTTGATGGAAATTGTTTTGAACCCGTAGATTGATTTTGATATGATGGCTATTTTCACAATATTAATTCTACAGATCCATGAGAATAGGTGATCTTTCCATCTCCTGGAGTCTTCTTCAATTTTATTTCCTTAATATCTTAAAGTTTTTATTGTTCAAGTCTCTCACATCCTTGATTAGAGTAATTTCAAGATGTTTTTGAAGCTATTGTGAAAGGCACTGTTTCCACGATTTGTTTCTCAGTTTGTCATTTGTGTGTTAGAAGGCTACTGGTTTCTTGTGTTAATTTCACATCCTGCTACTTTGCTGAAAGTGTTTATCAGCTATAGAAGTATCCTGCTGGAGACTTTAGGATCTTAAATATAAAACCATCTCATCTGCAAATGAGGATATTTTTTTCCTTCCTTTCCTACTTGTATCCTCTTGGTATTTTTCAGATTTCCTATTGCTCTAGCTCAGCCTTCAGGTAGTGTACTGAATATGTATGGAGAGAGTGGACATCATTATCTTTTTCCTGATTTTAGTGGAAATGGCTTGAGTTTCTCTCTATTTAGGTTGGTGTTGGCTGTGGGCTTGCTGTGTTTGCGTTTATTATGTTGAGATATGTCCCTTGCATGCCCAATCTCTCCAGGAAGCTTATCACAAAGGGGTGCTGGATTTTGTCAATGGCCTTTTCCACATCTAACGAGATGAAATTTTTTATCTCAGTTTGTATAAGTGGTGGGTTACATTTATCAGTTTATGTATGTTGAGTCATCCCTGCATCTCTGAGATGAAGCCTACTTGGTCATGGTAAATAATCTTTTTGATGTGTTCATGGATTCTGTTTGCAAGTATTCTATTGAAAATCCTACACATGTTTTCATGTAGGTTCTCTCACTGATCTCTGAGTTCATCAATTTGGCTAGACTGGCTAATGATCTTCTGGCTCTGCCTCTTCGATGATGGCATTGCAAGCATATGGCACCATATCCAGCCTTGATATAGGTGTTGGGGATCCAAATTTGGGCCCTCAAACTTTCATGGCAAGCACTTCCCTGAGCCATCCCTTCAGCCCAGCTCCTACTTTTTGACCTCTTAAAATACTAGCTGTCTTTTTAATATAAATGTGTTACATGCATACAAATTGTTTACAAAATGATAGTTGACAAGAATAGTTCTTAAAAGTTGTCTCTTGGAGGCCTGCTCTTTTCTGAAGGGAAACAGAATGAGAGAAGATCTGGGAGGGAGGAGTGATTGGGGAACTGGGAGGAGTAGAGGGACAGAACTGTAGTTGGGGTGTATAGTATGAGAAAAGAATCTATTTTCAGTTTTTAAAAATATCAAAAAAATAAAAATTGAACTTTTAAAAAATCCACATAGTTAACCTAACTTAAAATTTAAAATTCTTTAAGGAAATAAAACATGAAGTTTAGGAAGTCTGTTTGAATAAATTAGAGAGACTGGAATCGTGCATAGAATTATTATTTCATGAAGCTCAAAGGAAAAAAAGCATGAGCTGTTATTTAAACCCATAGCTATCTAGGGCCTATTTCTCTGGCTGCCAGCCTATATTTTTGAGCAAGTGACATATACAACAAATAAAACTAGGAGATTCTGATTCCTCTTGAAAAACAAAAGCATCAAGTAGACAGTTTATCAGCAATGTGTGTTGAATTGTATTCACAGCCTTTTCTAAAATGTGTCTGGGTAACGCACGCAGCCATGTAGCCTACAGTTTCTACAGGGTAGAAAATGTCATCATTCTTTATTGAAAATACCCTGAATAACATGATTTTTTTTTCTGTTATCATTAAACAGGGAAGGCCATGGTAAAATCTCAGTGTTTGCTGTCAAAATGGCTTTGGCTACGTTGTGTGGAGGGAAGATCATGGACAAGTTAAGATGTAAGTGACCCCCTGCCCCCGCTCTGCTTGTCTCTGCTGTGCACCTCACACCTTCTCTCTTACTCCCGCCATGTCCTCCTGGCCATCTCTGCCTTCCCTCATTCTGTGAGAGCTGTTTCAAATGCAGTCTTCTTTGACCTTTAAATTTTATAATAAGACTCTTTCCACAGTAGATAAATTTTAATGAAATGAACATTTTCTTCTGCTTTTGAATTATCATTATTTATAACTTCCCGGGTACCTCCAGCTAAAGTCTTTCTGATATTAAAGTATTCAGTTTTCACTATTTGACAATGATGTTGCTATTTGGATTTCACCTTGTTCTTTACTGTAAATATTGTGGGTTGGCCATGGAATGCTGTGTTGGGAAGGGCATGGCCACTAGCACTGATAATCCAGGCTGTGAGACCAGACATGCCATTGATTACACTATGCGACATGACTACACATCATTAATCTTTATTTTCCCTCCACATCTGAAGTGGGGGATTTTATTAAACCTGGCAGGTACCTCCTAGCTCTGTCAACCACAGGGTACCGTCCTCCCTTTCTGCTCATTAGATTCTGGGTAGTCAAAAGGGAAAGAGTAAAAGAAGGGGAAAACTTTTGCTCCTTTGGAATCTAGCCTGACTTACTACATGGACATTTTCTCACTGACTAACCAGATTAGACAAAGGATAGCAAAACTGAGGTGTGATCAATTTCCTTCACTTCCTTTTTTTTTTTTTTTTTTTGGAACAGCCAGTGCACCCAGAAACCAGAGAAGCCTACCCAGACCCTGGGGCCAGCTAGTTTCTCTTTGGTTAGCCTAAGAGAAAAAGAAGTTGAAAATTGCCTACTCCATTGTTTGACTGGGAAATGAAAAATCAGAAATTCCAGGAACCAGTGGCTTTCTCTTCCATCTTTAAATGGCTTCAGGATTATCTAGGAGGCATTTTCTTCAAGATTAGGCTAAGAAAAAGTTTAACAGAATGAACCAAACCAGAGGTAAAAACCCAGAGGAAAATGACTGCTGCCCTCATGTCACAGTTGGCCACTTATTCTGAGGACACTAGAGAAACATTTCAAGAATTAAAATCTTCAAAAGCATCTCCTAATGCTTATTCAGTGTTGTACTCATAGACAAATGAATAAAAGAGTCATATATTAGAGTAAATTTGAGCCCAACTGATGAAAGGCAGTTCTCTAAATATTAGTACCGTCTGAGCATTTTGGGAAGCCACAGCCCTTGTCCTGGGGGTCCCAGGCTATTCTTCTCAGCTTTTCTGGGAGTCAGATGCTACCTTCCTTCGGGGTCAGCCATCTCAACAACCTCCTTTCCCTCTCTGACCATCTCAGGCTACTCACTAAAGTAGTTACTGTCACAAGAAAGATATAGTAGACACGGGGTTAATCTTCACATCCTGGGCTGGGAAGATCCATTCTTCCTTTCAGGCAGAATCAGATTTGAAAGGAAGGCTGGCAAGATAGCAGTGGGCAGAGGTGGTTGTGCATAAACCGCACACCTAAATTTAATCCCAGGATCGAACAAAATGGAGAAAGAGAACCAGCTCCCAGGATTTGTCCTCTGATCTCTGCACACACAAGACATTAACATCCACACATACATACACACACTAAAAATTTTTAAATATACATCAAATGCACAGTTGCTAGGCAAGTGACTAAAAACATGAACTCTAGCTCAAGCTGGTTTAAAGTAGTTGTTTTTGTTTTGTTTTGTTTTGTTTTGTTTTGTTTTGGTTTGGTTTGGTTTGGTTTGGTTTGGTTTGGTTTGGTTCGGTTCGGTTCGGTTCTCTGAGTTTTTGCAATTCTTCAGCCGACCCAATAATGCAAAGAAATCAGTGTAATGGCTGCAGTGCTTTCTCTTCACTCTTTCCATCATCCTCCAAAAAACCAGGTGAGCAAAGCAAGCTTGCTCTCCATGGACACAGTCAGTCTTCCTCAGCACAGTGAAGGAAGCAGCCACAGCAGGGATCCCATTGGCGACACAAGTCCCCATGTCACAAATTCTAAAGAAAAGTGCATGCAGGGTAGGTGTGACCACCATGCATCACTTTCCTGTCTGGAGAGCAGTGGGCCTCAGTCGCCACCTTCTGTCCCTAGCTCTCTGACAAGAGTCACGCTTATATTGGTAATCCCAGTAAGATGGTTGTAATGGCCTCCAGGTAATTTTGTTGAAGGCAGTTTGACCTTGAATATAGTTTTAAGCGATTTGATTTAAAAAGTCTCTCAAACATATTAGTACAAAATGAATATTCTTCAGCACCAATATTTCTAGTTTGAGTAATTGTTATTGGTTGAATGAGACAATCCATCCACAGACAGCAATGGTTGGCTCTTGGCAAAAGGGATTGTGGATTCTTTAATGCAGTTTTTTCTCTTCCGGCTCTTGTTTTAGGTATATAGCAGACAAGTCATGATTTCTTGTACTACTTTTGTGACAAGAAAAAGTAAAATGAAAACGTGACGTTTTTCAAGACTTCAAGATTTGAATTTTTGTTTTAGTGTCTGTAAATTTATCTAACATATTTGAGCCCATTTCCCAGCCATGCTTGTTTAGGAATACTTCTATTTTTGTGCATGGGGAAGAGGGATATTTGGTTTGTTCCAACTCATCCCTTTTTATTGAGAGAACAGAGCAAGAATAACTTACTGAAATTCTTTAAAAGCAAGAGGAAAAACACAACAGAAAAATAAGGCAAATTTTATTAAATTCTTAGCTGGAGCTCCACAAGAAGAGCAACAGAACCAAAAACTCTGGGCTCAAGGGTCTTTTCGGAGATGATACTTCAACCAAGGACCATTCCCATTCATGGAGATAACCTAGAACCCCTGCACAGATGTAGCCCATGGCAGCTCAGCATCCAAGTGGCTTCCCTAAAAATGGGAGCAGGGACTGTCTCTGACATAAACTCAGGGGCTGGCTGTTTGATCACCTCCCCCAACCCGAGGGGAAAGCAGCCTTACCAGGCCACAGAGGAAGACAATGCAGACAGCCCTGATGAGACCTGATAAGCTGGGTCAGAGGGAAGGGGAGGTCCTCCTCCCCTATCAGTGGACTGAGGAAGGGGCATGGGAGGAGAAGAGGAAGGGAGGGCAGGACTGGGAGGGGATGAGGGAGAGAGCTACAGCTGGGATACAAAGTGAATAAATTGTAATAAATTAAAAAATGAAAAAAAAACGCAATAAAGGGGACACTAACTCCACCTTACATTCAAGTCTCTACTACTTAGGGCCCCTGGCAACCAGTACATGGGGTGTCTTCTGCGTGACTGCTGGTGGCACCTTTGGTACAGGCTGTGGAAAAGGGTTACTGTCTGTGGGTATATGGCAGAAGACGGTAAACCAAAAGGGACCTAATATATGCCTTTTCTGCTTCCTTGTTCTGGTCTTGTGATTACCCGCTCTAACCGTTGTCTCTTGGACAGTCCTGTTGGTTGGTTTTCTTAAATGTGTCCAGTGTATCTGCATACAAACACACACGCATAGATGCATAGCCCACCTGTGTGTGCAAGTGTGCGTGGGTGCATGCTTATGTGATGAAAGCCAGAAGACAGCCTTGGATGTCATATGGAGGAGTTTCGTCTGTCTCCTTTGAGACAGAATTAGCCATTAGCCGGGAGATCACCAGTTCAACTAGACTGGCTGGCCAGTGAACTCCGAGGGTCCTCCTGTTTCTGCCTTCCTTGACAGTGTTAAAGTTCCAAGTGTGCACCACCAAACCCAGCATCGTTACATGGTGCTAGGGAGAGAACTACAGGCTCATGCTTACAAGCCAAACACTGGGCAACCTCAGCCGACTCCCCAGTCCCAACAACCCAGATCTTAAAGGAATCTCAAGCCCATAAGTCCACGGCTTGGAATCATGTTTTGTCTATAGTTTCTGGATGCTTTTTTTTTTCCTTTAGTTCAGAAAACCCACACTGTAGCAGACATCTTGCATTTATCAAATTTATCAAATTTCTCTCTCTAATTGGGTTGATCTGCCTCCACAGCTGCCTCCAGGGCTGTGTCTCTAACTTTAAAGCCTTCATTATCTCCTAGCTTTAAATCTTTCTTTATATCCTTAATTATCTCCCCTGCCATCTTCTAGACACATTTTGAACTCCATAGCCCAAGTTTCAAGGCTATTTATATCTGCTGTCACCATCCACCTCACCCTGATGCCCTTATGGACTCCCCTGAGAGCACCATGCTTGCACTCCCCTCTGGCCTGACCCTGTTTCCCTAAGCCAGTTCCCTCCTCTGTGCTGACTGCTCAGTGGCCTTTACCCTTTGCCCTGACCTCTGCATGCCATCTACACTGCTCTTCCAGTGTTCACACCACAGTGTGGCAATCTGTGCTGTTCTATGAGGCGTCCTTCAAGCTTTTCTCAGTCCTCCAAGCCTCCCAGAGGTATACTCACCGATTAGCACAAGGCCACCCATTCAGCGTGTGTCTGGTTGACCGTAGCTGAATGAACCAATGAAAGCTAACTCATGTTATGGTGCTATAGGAAACACCAAAAGGGTTATAATATGATTCGGAGCCACTAGAAAAACTCCCACTGGAAATTTCATATGAATGAATGATGTCAATAACAAAAAAAAAACACAGTATGAAATTAATAATGAAAATATCTAAGATGCGAACACTGTGTCCCACGTGTGAAATGTTTATTCTAAATGCATTACGTCTATTAACTGACGGAATTCTTGAAATAATCCCTTTTTCAAGCATTCAATATGTAGGTTGCAGGCTTATCCTCTTAAGCCCAAAACTAAAGTACAAGCTTGTATTATTTTTGTATCAACTTCAGAGTTCCTTCATTTCTTTTTGATGACCTGCGTCAGCCATGCACAGCCAGCTCCTGATCATCTCTGAGGTCCATATGTACTTTGGCTCTTACTTGGCAACCGTCCTCAGTACAAAGAAAGTACACTTTAGTGTCATGTGTGTGGAAGGTCACCGTGGGTACTCCTGTTTTTGCTGTGGTTAGAGACTAAATGCATTGCTTTTCACTGTGCCCAAACTTTTGACACTTTGGGGGGAATGATTTACGTGGGTGTACAGTTCATAGAAAACAGTCTACTACGTTGAGGAGGGCAAGGGGGCGGGACAGGGTGCTGCCCATAGCAGTGACGTAGAGATGGTGTGTTTGCTTTGTAGACAATCAGGAGGCACGCGGAACCAGAGAAAGCACGCCCTTTAAGGCCCACCCCTGATGGCTTATATCTGTCCCGTGCTTCCCACCGTAGGAGTCCCATGACTTGTCAAAGCAGCGCCAACAGCTACATGCCAAGTGTTCAAAAATGAGTGTTGGAGGAAGGGCGTAGTTCCCATTCGAACCAGAACAGAAAGATTGCCTAAATTCTTTCACTTGGCGATTGGAAAAGCCCTTGCTTGGAGAATCAGAACCTCAAGGGCATTCAGGGTGATCCTGTTAGAACCAACCCACCTGCCTCAAAGCCAGCAGGATAGCAGTTCCCATGGAAAAGCCAGTCTGGTTTTCCCAAGTCTTCTTTTCTCCCTCTCCATTGGAATGTTTCAGCTTTTATGTGTAAAATTAATCACCATGTTTTTCGGCTGACAACTTCTTCTTGACTTATTTATTCTTGGCCGGTTTGACTAGAGCCTGAGATAAAACTCACCAAGCAAACAACATTGCAGAGATGATGGGAACACTTTGGTTCAAAGTGAATTTCTTTTTTAGTTGACATAAAATTATTTGTATTAATTACTTATAATTCGTTTTGCACATAAACAATGCTGTGAAATGGTTAAGTCTATCTGGTTAACATATGCACCATTTTAGACAGCATGTTGTGATGAGCATGTGCTCATCAACTGTGTTGACATCTGATTCATTACCTTGTCACCCTGCTGGAGAGCTTCTCTCGTGAGCTTGTTCCTTAGTTATAACTACATATTCTTTGATGACGCGTTTCCTACCCTGACTGTCTTTTAAGCCCTCCAGGCTCTGGTAATCACCATTGTACACTCTACATCTGAAATCAACAAATTTATTTTTCATATGAGTCTGAGCATGTAATATTTGTCTTTGTGCGTGTGACTGATTTCACTTAACAGAATGCCCTTCAACTTTGTTGCAGATGGTAAGATTTCTTTCTTTCTTTCTTTCTTTTTTTTTTTTTTTTTTTTTTTTGGCTGAAGAATATTCCCCTGGGGATATGCCACTCTTATTTATCCATTCATTTATTAATGGACACTTAGGTTGATTACACATCTTTACTGCTGTAGCTGTGTTATCATAAAAATGGAAGTGCAGATATTTCATCGACAAACTAGTTTCACTTAGATGTAACTTTAGAAGCGTACCCAAAATATACCTTTAAATATATGCTCAGTAATAGAACTTTTGGATCATGTAGCAATTTTATTTTTTTTCTAATTGTGTTACTTACCTCCGTGATGACTGTAATTTTTATTTCCACCAGCAGTTTACAACTATTCCCTTTTCTCTAAGTTCTCTCCCACACTTGTTCTCTTTGTGCTTTTTTTTTTCCGTTTTTACTAGAGAATCTACCTGACTGTGGCTTTCATTTGTACTTACTATGTGATCATTGATATTGAGTATTTCTGCAAACCTCTAACGAATTGTATGCCTTCTTTCAGAAAATACCTCTTTGGCTCCTTTGCCTATTTTTACTCAGGTTGTTTTCTCAGGTTATTAAGTTATTTATTTGAGTTCCTAGTATATTTTGGATATTTAACTTCAGAATTTCTACAATATCACTATTAATAACAATTGTGAAGCATCGTTTTATCTGGAAGATTTAAAGTGCAGGTTCTAAAAACACAAGCCAGTAAAATCTTGTTATATGTGTAAAAATGCGGTATCCTCAGGTTACATTTTGACCTTGAAAAATGAAACTCAGGGGCTGGAGAGATGGCTCACAAGTTAAGAGCACTGGCTGCTCTTCCAGAGGTCCTGAGTTCAACTCCCAGCAACCACATGGTGGCTCACAACTATCTAAAATTAGATCTGATGCCCTCTTCTGGTGTGCAGGTGCACAAGCAGAGAGAACATTGTATACATAATAAATGAAAGAAAGAAAGAAAGAAAGAAAGAAAGAAAGAAAGAAGGAAGGAAGGAAGGAAGGAAGGAAGGAAGGAAGGAAGGAAGGAAGGAAGGAAGGAAGGAAGGAAGGAACTCACTAGACTTTGTCCTGCACCCCTGCACCTACACTGGCTGAGTGACGTCTACTTAGCATTAGATAAACTAATGCCAAATCTTTTTGTTCTGATAATTCCAGGGGGTTTTATCAATCACCTTGGAATTGAGCTACTAAGTATTTATTAAGCTCACATCATGGCAGGATGGAGCTCACAAGCTCAGTGAAGCCAGCAGCACTCTGGAAAATAATCTGATACCCGGACCTTACCTCATAGATCATCTATAGGGCCAGGCTCCTCATCACCACACGGAGACCCTTCCCTAAAAGCCATGTGACTCCCACCCTGTCCAACAGTGTAGTAATTTTTCTGCCTCTGTGGAAACTTATTCAAGGGCTGATGTTTTCATTTCCTCCTTATCTCTATTTTACCCTTTATTTTTCTAATGTATGAAGTCGAACCCTAAAATTTTGATGATGATACAAATGGACAAATTTCTAATAAGATAAGTGATGCATGTACCTCCCAGTTCTATAGTGACAAGTTCATTCTGTTCCCTAAGAGGTTGGCAATTTTGTCTTACTGAAGAGTAAGTTGCCGTGATAAAATGTCCTGACAGAAACAACTTAAGGGAGAAACGCTTTGTTTTGGTTCATGGTTCCTAAGAGATTTAAGAGAACCTCTGAGTCTGCCCCACTGACAGACTGCATTTTACAAAGCTTACTTCCTGAGATTCCGCAACCTTTCCAAACAGCACCCCCTGATGGAGACCAGGTATTCAAACACCTGAGCTTATGGGAAACATTTCACCCTCAAACTGCAACATTATCTGTGACATATACAAAACTTACCACTACAGCATTTTATGTGAGTTGATAGTTAAGACAAAAAAAAAAAAAAAAAATGTTCTCTGTATTTTTTTGATGTTCTCTGTCTTAGCAAAATATGTTAATATTACCCAAATTGAAAATCACCTACAAAAAGGCACCGGACTTATAACAAACCCTGTCTTGAAAGAAGAAAACACTGGATATCATGCTAAGACCATTTCAGCAGAAAAATTAGCTTTCTTATTATGTTTGCATAAATAATTCACTCTTCCTGCTTTATTTGTATCAGAGATGCTGAGCTAAAACTTCAAAATGCTTGTGTGGTAACATCTTCATCCTTTCTTTTCACCAGATATCTTCTCAATGATCTCTGACTCCAGTGGGGTGATGGTTTATGGGAGGTATGACCAGTTCCTTCGGGAAGTTCTCAAACTACCCACGGCGGTTTTTGAAGGTCCTTCATTTGGTTACACAGAACAGTCGGCCAGATCCTGTTTCTCCCAACAGGTAACGTTCTAAAGGAAATCCTTCCAAACACTGTTATTCTCTTTCTTTGTGTGACTTCTAGGCTCACGTGCCCAAATTCTTCATGACAAAAGCTTGGGGCATATTTCTCCAGCCTTTGATGAATGACCTGTGATCCAGCAACTAGCAATATACCTGAAGAGTAATGATAGATAGTGCTCACTGGCCAAGAGGCATCATGATTATTATTTCTACTGTCTAATTTATCCTTTGTAGCAACAGATACCCTCACTATCCTTGCATTAACGTTGCTATGCTTTCTAAAGGACTAAATTGTCACTCAGCCCCCAAGTGAGGTAGTCCTAACCTCACACTAAGTTTTCCAACAGTAATCAAAGTAGAGGAGTCTCCTTGCATGCCACATCACTGTCTGGCTAGTCCAACACATGATGAACACTACTGCCTAAATCTCCCACAGTCTGATGTAGTGATGCTTTGTCTCCCGGGAAGGCTTAGTTTACGGCATCTCAAGCTTAGACGTCCACGTAGAGACCATATATGTTCATTCCCCAATACAATACAGTGGTAGTTTCTAACTTCATACACATAATACTCATTTACAATTGTATAAAGTTTAAACTAACCAAGTGCATCGTCTCAAGCAGCCTGTGCAGTGAAAACATAAAACAAAGTTTAAAAGGGAAAGAAACGTGCACAACAGCTCCTGAAAACCCATACAACTCACCCAGCTAGTGACATCATCAGTCTGCATTTACGTGGCCATCTGCGCCAGGCGGTCCTCTATCGTACATCTGAAGGACTATCACTAGCCTCCTGATGAGTAAAGACAGGGCTGGCTGCACTTGGTGCCCCATGCATATGCTGCCCTTGAGCTCTCTAGAACAGAGGAGTCTGTGTGAAATCTTCAGGATCGAGCAGGGCCTAGGTGCTCCTGTGCAGTCTCTTCACCTTGATATTCTGGTTCAAATTTTCAAACAAAACAATTTTGTTGTTTTGTTGACCATGCAATTCCTGCTATTCCCAAATTCCGGCAGAACCAATCACACTAAATACTCAGTGTGTAAGCAAATGAGGAAACTCCAGAGGGAAGTCACTTACAAACAGCCCAATCAGCGCCCCGAGGCACTTCTGGGCCACTGGAGATTTCAGCTCTGCACCTTTCTTTGTTTTCACCCTGTCCGTTATCTCTGAGAGGGAAGCTGTCAGATCCTTGTGACTGGCCACTGACTCAGGCTCTGCAGAAATGCTATGGTCTCAGGCACATTCAGGCAGAAGCCCTGGAAGTTTTCCGTTCTAAACTAGTGCAGCAACACCCTTTGGCAAGTTCTGTCTCTCCCTGTGTGAGGAGTTAACTGAATGCTTGGTCTCTTGTTGTCAAATGCTAACACATGAGTTCAGGTTATTCTCTGACCTATACTCCTGTCGCTTTTCCTGTTCCGGTGCAGAAAAAGGTCACATTAAATGGCTTCTTGGACACGCTCATGTCAGACCCTCCCCCACAGTGTCTGGTGTGGCTGCCTCTTCTGCATCGACTGGCGAATGTAGAAAATGGTGAGTAGTTACTGCTGAGCCAAAACAGTATTGAAATTGCTCAGATTAGACCATCATATCTACAGTTATGATGTCCATGACAGTTTTAGGAAAATTTGCTTACTGGATCATTTAACCAACCTACCATCTGACCCTTAAGAGCTGCAAAATTAGGATGATGAATGCTAAATAATAATGATAATAACAATAATGCACTAAATTGCAATGTAACCTCAATTACAAGCTACCTGTGCTCAATAGAAAGATACCAGTAAAGGATATTTTTTAACCAATTTTTTTCCAAGCAATCAGCTAGGAATGGATGAAAGAAATGGCAAAGCAATAAATGAAAGCAATAAGTGAGAGCAGTTGCTCACTTTAAGGCATCTATTCCAGGTTGTAAGTGTCCTCTAAGTAAACATATGTTGGAGACAAGAGTAATGTAAAGTTCACTGCATGTTTCTTTTCAAAAAGAGCAAAGGTTTCTAATATAAGAGATGTTTACCATTGACAAATCTAGATTTTAATGTAAAATACAACCTAGGATACAGTTTTTAAAAGTTTACACATGGAACAAACTAATGCCTATGTTTCATGTTTGTAGTTTTATTGTCAAGCTGTAAAATTTCTCCAACTTGAGTAGAAAATAATCTATCTCATGTCTATGTATTGCTTTAATATACATTGAGGATAAAGTTGGCTTCATTTTAAATTCTCATTTGGAATTTTTAGCATCTGACTCTTGTCTCTCAAAGTTTATTCGGTTTTCTTTGGGGCAAAATTTAAAGAATAAATTTACTAATTCCTTTGGAATTACCATAAATCACGTGTATGTAAGAACCAAGAGCCAGTGAATGGCTGCCATGAGACAGGATAGATTCAGAGTCCCGTCGGCATTCCAGCAGGGATGGTGTGCCAATCCTGACGCTGTGATTTCAGTCCTGCCGTCTCAGTGCTTCCTGTTACAGGAGATCTGATTCCTAGGCACCTGTCCAGAGCAGTTACCCAACCTCACCTCACACCCTTAGCTTTCCTGGGAGCCAGAAGAAGGGCTTGAGCTATTCCTAAACAGCAGCACATGCAGAACACATTACGTTCCTTTTTCACATTTCACTTTTTATCGTCATCTGTATTGCTTTTCTTGCCTAGTAACTTTTTTTAAAAAATAAAGAATTTTATCGTTGTTTTTGTTCATCTGTTGCTCCTGCCACTGTTTCAGTATTTTTAACTCATGGCATGAGGACAGCTTAGAGTTGATTTTACATTAGCTCATAATCTCAATGATTTTACCTGGCCATCTTGGCAGTTCACATTTCCTGGCAAAACAAGGAAAGAGTCTCCTGAACAGTCTAAGTCAGAACTGTGCCCAAATAATTTGTTCATCTTCAGGGGACCTACTCTTCTGCTCCAGAATAAAAGTGAAAGACAGAGACAGAGACAGCGAGACAGGCAGAGATGAGAAAATGTGTTTTAGATGAAGGCAGTGTAATTAATAAGCCCATTAGCTACTCTATTTTTTTAAGGAACTCAATTCTCTCGTCTAATTTTTCTATCCCCCATCTCATTCCTTTATTCCCCTCTCATTTTCTATTTCATTAACACTTGCCCCTGCCTCTTGGATACTTAACTGTATTCATCCATTCTGTTGCTGTGTCTTCATGACCTCTGTTGGTTTCCAGGAGACGATATGAGCAAAGACTGGTCAGTTTGGATAATTTACATTCTTATGACGTAAGAAATAGGGGTCAAAAGAGCAAACGACATTGCTGAGATTTACGTTGCCAGAGGGCACTTATTCTTCATCCCTTTCTATACCTACCCCCACCCCCGGCCCACCCCACCCCCACACGCACACATGCTTGGAAAGTACAGTCTCAGGAATATACATGTCTCTCAGTCAAAATTGATTACGGTCTGAAGTCACCGAAACACACAGCTGAAAAAGAGAATTCCTTGTAAGTCGTGCTTTTCTTTAGTCTGGTTTACACTTGTCCTGCTTTTTTTTTTTTTTTTTCTCATTTGCTCCCTCCCTAGTCTTCCATCCGGTTGAGTGTTCCTACTGCCACAGCGAGAGCATGATGGGATTTCGCTACCGATGCCAACAGTGTCACAACTACCAGCTCTGCCAGGACTGCTTCTGGAGGGGGCATGCAGGAGGCTCTCATAGTAACCAGCACCAAATGAAAGAGTATACATCGTGGGTAAGTGAGGTCCAGGCGGTGTTTAAGGGTGGCTGTGTGTCCCCCAAGATGAGAAGGAATGATAAGCGTGGGGTGTTGGTTAGGGTTCTCTGTTGCTGTGATAAAGACCTAAACGAAAAGCAACTCATGGAAAAAATTCCCAGGTCACAATCCATCACAGAGGAAGTCAGGTCAGGAACTCTAGTACGAACCTAGAGGTAGAAATTGAAGCAGAGGCCTTGGAGAAACTTTGTTTATTGGCTTGCTCTCATGGCTGGCTCAACCTGTTTTCTTATGGCACCCAGGACCACCTCTTCAGGATGGCATTCTCCACAGAGAGCTGGCTTCTCTCACATCAATCATTTTTTTATTCAGTTTATATCCTGGTTGTAGCTCCAATTCACCTCCCCTCCCAGTTCCACCTTCCCTCCCCACCTCCTTTTCCCCCTCCCCCTCCCCTCTTGCCCATTCCTCAGAAAAGGGGAGCTTCCTTTCCCATCCACCCCAGCTCATCAAATTGCATCAGGACTGAGCACGTCCTCTTCCCCTTCGGCCTGGCAAGGCAGTCCTGCCAAGGGGAAGTGATTTAAAAGCTAGCAAGTGAGTCTGTGTCAGATGTGGTCCCTACTTCCCTTACTAGAGGACCTACTTGAAGCCTAAGCTGCCCATCAGCTACATCTTTGTAGGAGGCCTCGGCCCAATTCATGCATGGTCCTTGGTTGCTGCTTCAGTCTCTGCAAATCCTTCTAGGCCCTGGCTAGTTGGCCTCATTGGTCTTCTTGTGGAACTCCTGTCACCTCCAGGTCCTTTTTTCTCTTTCCTTCCACTTTTCTACAAGATTCCCTTCACCCAATGTTTGACTGTGAGTTTCAGCATCTGTTTTGAGGTGCTGCTGGGTAGAGTCTCTTAGAGGACAACTCTGGTAAGCTCCTGTCTGCAAGCTTAGAAGAGTATTATTAATAGAGTCAGAGGTTGGGACTCTCCAACAGGATAGGTCTTTGGTTGGGCCAGGCATTGGTTGGGCAATTCCCTCAATCTCAGCTCTATCTACTCTATCTTTATCCCTACACATCTTGTAGGCAGGATAAATTTTGGATCAGAGTTTTGTGGCTGGGCTGGTGTTCCCCTTCCTCTACTAGGAGGCTTGTCTAGTTAGAAGGTGTCCTCTTTAGTCTCTATGGCCTCTGCTACTAGGAGACTGTGTTACCCCAACACCAGGATCTGACCCTAACTCAGGTCTCCAGTTCCCACAACAATCATTAATGAAGAAAATGTTCCATAGACTTGTCAATAGGTAAATCTGACTTGTGCCAAGTTGACAAAAAGGGGCAGGGGGGTAAGGTCAACCTTAACCTCTGCTCCTTTCCCATTCCCTGCTATTTCTCATCCTACTCGGGTCTCTTACCTTTTGTATCTGAGCCAAGTGTGGCTTCCTGAGACTTAAAATATTGTAAGAACCAAACTATGGTTCTTCTCAGGATTATAGACAGGCCAGCACTGAGCTAATCAACAGAAAGGCAGGCCGTCCTGGGTCAGTTTTATTTTGCTGGGAAGTATGCATCTTTCTAAGTTTCTCTTCACTATTTTCTATGCAAATTAATTTTTTTTAAAAAAAGAACTTAACAGTTTCCTGAGATTCCCTAATTTCTTTCAAGGAGTATGAGAATGTGTGCTCACCAACACTGAACCAGCTTCAGATTTTTTTTTTCAGGGAATGGAGAGGGAAACTTGAAGTTTTAAAATCTTTTCATAGTGTGAGGAGTTAACTGAGTTAACTTAGTAAAAATGACCTGTCCGTGTGACAATAGCATGTGGCACCTGTCTGTGGAGGAGGAGACTGGTGTGCTTACTGTTTGTGGGGCTCACTGTTCCTCTGATCTACCCCAATTAAACTCAAAGTTCACTTCTCACTCAGGCTCCCAAGTTTCTTGTTCTGTGTCTGGATTGGTTGCTGTCGGCTGTATCATCAGCCAAGCCAACCTCATGAGCTACTTGAGATAATTCAATCCCAAGAGCGCAAAGTTGTTTGATTTATTATATATCCAATGTATCATGTAGGTTTTATGTATAGAGTAGTTTGCTAAATATTTCATATGCACATATATTATGCGACCTTCTGAAGAGGCACGAACAAACATCCACCTCCCCAGTGGGGATTTGATGCCTCCTGCTTTCTTCTCTAGAATGGTTTCTCATCTTCCTCCCTCTGCAGGTGTCATTCCTCCCATTCCCTGAGATTTTCTCAGAGGGTTTCAGTGGTCCCCTAAACCTCAACATGTTTCCCCGCACACTGGCTGCTTCCATTCAGCATTTGCAGGACTTTTCAGCAAGGGCTGGCTTGTTTCAGCACGCATCTTCCTGGCTTAGAGGGCAGGTGCTCAAAGCAGAGTTCTTCAATACATGAGTTGGCCAAGAAATGAGTGAATGAATATGCAGCATTAGTAAATTTTTAGACTCGCCTGAGAAAGTACATAGTCAAGGATATTATTCTCTTTCTAGAAATCGCCTGCTAAGAAGCTGACGAACGCATTAAGCAAGTCCCTGAGCTGCGCTTCAAGCCGTGAACCTTTGCACCCCATGTTCCCAGATCAGCCTGAGAAGCCACTCAACCTGGCTCATATCGTGTGAGTATCTCTGGCCCCAGACTAGGATCTGACTTCCTTCACTCACACATGCCTGGAGCATTCCCACCAAGACAACTTCACATCATGTCTCAGGAACCAACTTTTACTTATTCTTCTTTTTTTTCTCTTTTTGGTTAGTAGTGAGTCTCATTGCAAACTTTTCACACATCTATCATTACATTTTGTCCTTATTCATCTCCCATTACCTTCTGCTATACCTCTCCCCCCCTTCTTGCTGGTTCCCTTCACCCCCAAAAAAATTTTCTTCTGCTTTCATCACATGCGCACACGCGTGCGCGCACACACACACTTGCAAGCTTTAATTTTTTTTTTTAAGTATAAAAGCAATATGATGCCGGCATAGGCCAAACACCCACAAAACCGACATGAAACCCACTCTGTGGAATGGAGCTAACTTACTTTTTAACTTTTATTTTTTAAAATCATGCTCCAAAAAACAAGCCAGGAGCATATAAACCAGGGAACCATCCCAAGGGGACAGCAGCTTCTGGGGATTGCAGCCCAGGAGCTGCTGGGATACAGTCTGCCCTTGCCCTTGGCATCACCAAGGAGACACAACATCAGGCTGCTCAGGAAGGAGAGCAAGGTGGAGGAGGCCGTGCTGTGGGAACTCTGCTCACTCTCCACTGGCTGCTCTCACGCCAAGCTGCTGGGCGTGGAGAGTGAGTGGCAAGGCCTGGTCCTGAGAGCACTGCAGCATAGCAGAACGAGGGGCCTGCTGCAGAGTCACAATCGCTGCCACCACACGTGCCCAGCCAGGGCCTTATACAGTCAGCGCTTGGGAGTGTGTGTGTGTGTGTGTGTGTGTGTGTGTGTGTGTCTGTCTGTCTGTATGTATGTCTCTGTGTCTGTATGTGTCTGTGTGTGTCTGTCTGTCTATATGTATGTATGTGTCTCTGTGTTTGTGTGTATGTGTATGTCTGTGTGTATCTGTGTGTATATATGTGCGCATGTATTTTATATATATATATATATATGTGTGTGTGTCTATGTACATATGTGTGTATATGTTTGTGTGCATGTATGTGTGTGTTTGTGTGTGTTATGACATAAATAAAAATGCCATTCACTCAACAGACCTAAATTTAAAGGCAATTATTTGGGGGAAGGAGAAGAGACAGAGAGAGATAATGGGAGAGAATAGAAGGGGGGATGGTAAGAGTCCCTGGGAGAGAAACCTAAGCAGAGAGAGAGCATGGGTGGGAGTGGCAGATGGGTTATATCTGGAGCACCTGGCCTAGGTGATGATATAGGATGTTATCAGGACCATAAAGGCCCCTTAAAGCAGGCCAGTTGAATTGCTTGCACCACAATGTAACAGTGTGGGTATGTGGGTATGTGTGTGTGTGTTAGTGTGTATGTGTATGTATGTGTATATGTGTGTACATATGTGTGTCTGTGTGTACATGTGTATGTACATGTGTGTGGACACAGTGTGTATATGTGTGTGCATCTGTCTGTGTGTACATGTGTATATGGGTATACATGTGTGTCCATGTGTATACATATTATTTTAATGTGTTTTTAAAATATCTGACATTTAGCAGCAGGTTCTCTCATCACAAGTCTTTCATCAGGCTCTATAAACTGAAATAAGAGAATGAACACTTTAATAACTATCAAACACTAATACCTGTCTGCATGCTTAATGTTTTCAATGTGTTGTTCCCAAATATGACTTAACACAAGAAGGGCGAGGGCAGACATAAGAGTCAGCAGTTAAAAGCACTGACTTCTCTTGCAAAGGACCAAGTGTGGCCCCTAGTACTCACTCAGCAGCTCAGAACTTTCTGTAATGAACTCTCATTCCAAGGGACCCAATTCCCACTTCTGGCCTCCCCAGGCACCAGCCATACATGTACATACGCTTACATACATGTAGGCAAACACCCATACAAGAAAAAATAAAAATTATTAATAAACTATATTTTTAAAAGACAGAAAGAGGACTAAGGCCATTGTACAAAAGCATCAATAGTATAATTTGTTTTTACTTTTTATCCTCTAGAAAACACTTTCCTGAAATAACTTGTACACTGTTTCATGAGTTGTGGTACAAACCACATCTTTTCACTGTTTGGAAGTGTGTTCATATACATCTGCCAGTATATAAATATCCAGTGCACCACCCATGCACACAATCAACACACAGGCAGAGGCAGAGAGGAGGCAGTGGCTGGGCTGAGGAATAGTAATGGGCATATTACGTCACACACCGCATGTCCAAGGGGCTGAGGCATTGAGGATAACAGCACAAACTCAAAATAAAGCATTCGTTATCTGTTAGCATGAAATGTACATTCATTTGTAAATTATTATTAATTCTTCAAAGTTACTGTTTAGAGAAAAAAAGTCACATAAAGAGAATATTTATGAGAAGATAATTATGCATCCTCGTGTGATACGGAACACGTCTCTGTTAGAAAGCCCATGTACTAGAATGTGATCCTGTTCTCTTCAAGGCATGTCTTGCTGTGCGTGTGTTAAAATTTCATGGTGCTTTTCTAAAAAGCATATCCAGTCATGAGAAGAGAAGAGTCATTTTAAGATCCATAAGTATACACTGAGAAAAAAAACACATAGTGTATGCTTAATTATACATAATAAATTAATTAGAAAATATGTTCGTTTAAACTCTTTAAAGCTCCAACTTTTAACTATGGAAAATGCCAGAAATGTGATGGTGGTAAGACTGTGAAACTAAATAAACATTTCTCAGGAAGCCTTAGATAAAGAGAGACTGACTCAATAGAATTTTTAAACAGCCAGGGGTGGGGGCACACACCTACAATCTCAGCACTCGGGAGGCAGGGGAGGGTTAATCTTTGTGAGTTCGAGGCCAGCCTGGGCTGCATACTGAGACTCTGTCTCAATAAACAAACAACAACAACACAAACCAGGTTGCGGTACTACTACCTCAAATACAAGCACATTTGCAATACGGAAATGAAAGTGACAACGAAAATGCTATCGCCTCCAAGAGCCAAAGGTTTTCTGTACATGTAGCAAAACACTGCCAGTCGTGAGTTAGTTCTTAAATAGAAGTGAGCAGGTGGTGGCATTTTTGTATTCCGGCATGGGTGCTTAACTATCACATTGCTTGTAAATGTTGCCGTGATTAACAGTGTCTATTCTGTTCCACTCCCTTGCTGCCAAAAGGGACACTTGGTAAGTAATTGATGCCCCCACTCATATTTAGGCAAATTTCCCATCCCAATGAGAAGTGGTTATGAGATGGAAAACAAATGAGCTGCAGAAGGCTAGTTTAAAACTAATCCTGCCTTCAGCTGAACCTTTGTGCTTGAGGAGGATGTCAATTTTAGCTATTTGTAAGTTCTCTGCTAAGAAAAAAAAACAAAAAACAACTTCTTTGTATGTTACTTCTGAGACTCACTGTTCATGTGGGGATGTTTCACATTAGTAAGAATAAACATGTTTTTCCATCTCCCACGTGGTGCTTATGCCAAGAAAGGTCACTTGCCATTCGGTGATGGCAGAAGTCAGGAATGTGAGTTGCTTGAAAGCTGCCATTTTCTGCCCGTATCCAACGTATTGATTGGTGGCCCTTAATTATGAAGCAATTTTCTAAGAAGCCCCAATTTTCATTTTGTGACGACCAGTTTCAATAAAGAAAATTGGCAAGGCTAATTAAAAAGCACTCTCGATTCATTTGTTCTCCGTCTCCTAGATACAGAGCAAAATGGGAAAGGTCTTTTTCTTTCTCCTTTTGTCAAAATGAAACAGGAAGTGTGGGGTCAGTTTCAACTTTTTGCAGAGCTACGATGAACATACCTCATCCCGATTGCTGTGTTAAACATCAGTGTGCCCACCTTCCTGATTTCAGAGGACATTTGGATGCAATGATCAATGATCATCGCAATGATCCCCCCTAGAAAATGAAGCCATTCACCTTGAGGCACCACTAGTTTTAAGTACTCTTGTGTTGCTTCCTTATCACAAAGAGGCATCCCAGGTAAGCAATCCAAAGCTCTGAGATTGTTTTCTGAGCCCCGGCTGGTACATCAGAGTGGGTGACATGGTGAGTCTGCTGTTCTGACCTCATCCAAGAAGTGATGTGACTCGCAGAACCTTAGGACGTAGTGCAGCTCCTGATGCCAGGAAGATGCTTCAGTGAAATTTCACAGCCAGTGCTGAGATTTCAAACCTGTGCTTCACACCGCACAAACTCAACAGGTCTACTCTTTGTTGTACAAGGCACAACGCCAAAACTAACGGGTTAATCTAAGCCGCTTACATTAACTAATTGCTAATCAACTCTCTTAGACAACTGCCAACTAATGTCTCATCTCCAAAATATGTTCTACTGTCCATTTAAAATGGGGAATTATGGTAAAGCTGTCCCCTTGGGCCTTGAGACGTAACTCAGTGGGTACAGTGCTTGCCTGGCATAGAATGTGGCCACCGCTGGCTTCTCAGCACCACAGAAACCTGACTTCATGGCACATCTGCGAGACCCCCCAGCCCCCGTATCCAGGAGGTGAAGGTGGGAGAATCAGAATGTGGAGGTCATCCTCAGCAGCTTAGTGAGTTGGCAGCTACTCTAGGCTTCGAGACTCAGTAAATAAATAAATGCCACCTTGATAGGTAAACAAATAAATAAATGTTTTCTTTCACTATGAATGATGTCTAAGTATGTACTTTATCTCCTGAGCTCTAGACTATTATTAGATATCATATATTAACCCACAATAAGAAAAAAAAAAGTCTAGGAGATGAGATAGGGATCTGGGCTCTACGGTTTTATCCGATGTGAGACATACATGATAAAGACAATGATAAGACAAAATGGAACTATAACAGAGGACAACAGACCCAATCCACTTGGTGTATAGGACCACAGGCAGTCCTGAGGATCACTAGCCACTACTTATCCCTCACGTCTGTTATGAATATGATGATGTTTATGGGATGGTTGACACCATATAACCTTTCACATGGGTCATCCAAAGAGCAGGGACACAGCTCCTGGTGCTGCTTCATCACAGGAGCACACAGGTACAGGACAAATAAAACCAAGGGTGACTTTATTTTGGTGTCTGTCCTTTAAGGAGAGCCACCATCATGAGGAGCACATAGAACTTTCAGAATCCTTGATCTTCTCAGAAACATGACTCAAAAAGCATCAAGGTTCAATGCTCATGGAAAAAAACTCCCGTCTCCTAATGTCTTCCTTAAGTTTAACTAATCCTCTGTGTCCATGAGGAATTGTAACTTTACGTCATTTGAATAACTCCATTGGCATATAGAAGCTTTTCTGTGGATCTTGAGCGAGAGACAATTCTGATTCTCATCCTTTTTCTCCATGGATGGTGGGAAGTTTTAACGTGTAACTTTGCCTTAACTTTCCATGCACAATGTGTTTTATTTCAGGCCTCCGAGACCTGTAACCAGCATGAATGACACACTCTTCTCCCACTCTGTTCCCTCCTCAGGAAGTCCTTTCATCACTAGGAGGTGAGTCCCCAATCCTTCCACTAAATCAGCCTTCCCTTTCCGAATAAGCTTGATACTATGGTGAGAAAAATATCCTGCTGTAAGTCAAATGTGGAGTATTATTATTATTGGAAATGAGTTTGTAAATGCCCATTACTTGTTCTCAATTTTTCTCACAAGGACATATGTAAAGGGATGGGCTGGCTCTTGAGGTTTCTATAAACTCTGGAAATCTGAATTATATCCTCCCCCACAGAGTGAATGTGGGGTATACTTCAACCTTACTGCTTATACATATTCTTTCTGTATTACTAAGCAAATCATGTTTCTGGCCCTTGGAATAGCCTGAGGAAGTGTGGCACTGGAATTTCATGATACGGTAGTACATTATAATAAAGAGTATAAAATTACTCGTTATTTAAGACTCCAGATGTAAGTGATTACTCTTCTGGGTCACCTCTGGAATTCCTGGGGCCAGGGCTAATGACCAAACCTAGAATACAGTTTCCATATAAACAACTACATGAATAATATCAAGAACTTTTCAAAGATGTGGTGTTGTGTCTCATCTTTTTGCACAAAATCCACCAGATGTGTTCAAGGAACAGTAGACTCATGCAATCCCTTGAGTGTTAGTGTTAGGAACACACAGGGCTCAAAAGGTGTGCTGGCTCATTTGATGGATATCAAAAATCAACACCAGTGAGTTATTTGGTGAATGCATGGAGTCTCACAGGAAAGCAAGCAGGAAGGTTAGGAAGACAAAGATGTGATTGAACATCAGATCCCAACTGCCTTGTGGCACAATCCTTTTTTGCTCTGAGATAATGGGTAGGTGCCAACTTCTTTGCACCCTTTCCTGTTCTGGCACATTCTAGAGAGAGTTTAAATGAGAAAGGCTTATCAATCAATCCTACTTCTAATTTTCCCCCTTGCATCACTGTATATGCCCATCCATTGGAGCCTGTGATGAAAAAGATCCCCTTAATTATAATAAGCACAACAAAGACAATATGTTTACCTGTGGTGTTTCCATTATGTAAGTTAAATCTGAAATAAACAATAAGACATTTATACTACAGAATATGCACAGAAAAAAGTGATATTTATGTATCCCCCTAACTTCTTATGACTATCCCTCTTCATAACTATGAACACATAAAGCCATCTTTCCTGAAAGAAATCGTATGGTAACTGGGAGACACAGGCCTATGCATCTATCTAGTGAGGAACTAATACACTCCCTAGAAAGATGCTGTGCTTTTCAGGGAGCTCTGAATTCTGAAAACGCCACACCAAGGCAGACCCCATCCTTACTGAAGGTCATTTTATATCATTTCAGCTCGGACAGCGCTTATGGTGGATGCGTCTAGATGGATAACATGACTTCCTGTTCCCTAAATTATTCCTAAATAATTTGAGCTTTTCTGCTTCCTTTATTAACCTAAAATTTGGTCGCTTCCCTTTCTTCTGATTTTCAGTCCTTTTGTCCTATTCCCTGTGAACCACAGGTTTGTATAAAACGTGTGGTTCTTCTCACTGCTGAGACTGGACTTGAATTTCTGTTTTTAGGGTGCTGCTCAATAAAGCTGTGTACACTGAACATCTGTCCTCTCTGAGTGGGCCTTGCTCTGTCCATGGGAGGTTTCATTGTCCGCACCCCTCAGGTCACTTGAGCAGTTAAGAGCGTCCAGCCCCACAGCTAAGCACTCACTCAGAAAGCTGTATGCAAAAGCTTAACCTTGGGGCTTGGTCAGCGGCCCTCATTCTGAGTGTTTGAGAATTATAGCCATTAAACGGTTGCTATAAAGCTGATGTCTCTGCCCTAGCATGAAAATCCTTAGTCTTCTAGAGGAGACGATAGGTCTTCAAGGGAAGGTTGAGCGGGTTTCTCAGCTCTTCCTCTTATTTCTCATTATTTTATAACTTGCATAGCTTTGTGATAGTATGAGTATGCGACGAGTACCAAGCTGGGTCATGTATAATTTTCAAGGCTCTAGATGGTGATTCCTAAGACTCTCGAAGGATCCTTGAGGAATGGTCCATCACTGGATGCAAGGCAAGAACAAAAGCCTCCAGCTAGACCTTGGTGCAGCTAAAGGTCTTACAACGTTTCTGTCCCACTGAGTCAGGACCATTTTCTTGTCACAGAAAGATAACCTGATTCGCATTGGAGAGGTGATTTGGGGGCCACTTTCCTACTGCTGGTGCTTCATTTCTCACACTTGATGCTGCCACTATTGAATGGTTTCCACTTTCCTTACCACAATCCACAGTAAAGTTGATGTGACTACATCATGCCAAAAGCATGAGTTAAGGCCCCCTTCCTTCTGGAACGAAGCCAGATTAGTGAAACATGACCTAGAACTTGGTCCCTTTTCCATCACATCCTAATGGTCCCTTTATAGTCCCATTGAGTTTTAGGGAAACTTATATGGCTATATTACATGACCTGTGCTGTCAGTCATTTGTAATGTGACCTAGGAATCTTGGCGATCTGACAACAATGAGTCGGGCCATAGATAAGCTGAAATCACCACAGCAAGAGCCTCACTACTAACTCCTTTTCAAGCCTGCCACTTTGGTCTTCAGAAGGCTCTAGGATGTGTCTTTGAAGTCCTTTAACATTCTAGTGATCACCATCATGCAGATTTATGCATGTGGGGCTCCAGTCCCACCACCATCAGTTGCATCCCCTGAGTTACATCCTTTTCCAGCTAGATACACAATTCACTTTTCCATTAGCTGAAAGTAAGAGGGAAATCTTGCAGGCACTCACCCTCAGTCCTGGGAAATCTTTGTGTGTCATAGAAACAAATCTATACTCAATGACAGTTAGCAATTAGGTCAGAAGTGGGTCAAACAACAAATTTGTAGACCAATTCACCTCATTCATTTTCCTGACCACAAACTACAACTCTGAATCTGGATTGTTCTCTTATAAACGCACATGAAGGCATGGTTGTATCAGTGAAAGCCTACCATTAACACAAGAATATGGCAGGCCAACAATGGTAGCTAAGTTTATGAGAGATCATATAGCACTGTTGCAAAAACAGCAAACAAAGACTGACCACAAAGCCAGCCTCAGAGGCCCTTTCTCCCCTTCACTGCCCACAGTGCCTTTTTACGTATGGTCAGCTTTCTCTTTGGGCATCATGCCTAAGCTGTAAAATCTTAAATCTCTTCCCAAATCCCCTGCTTAGTGTGTAAGCAAGAGTTATCTACTTCTTTCCAATGTTAAATAAGCAGCTTTCACTATGATCCATCTCCCTCCCAAGCTATGACGCCAAGTACAAATGGCTAATTTCTTACACTTCCAATAGTAAGAGCATGATTTAAAGATTTCATGAGCATTTTCATGGTTATAACTTCTAAAGGGGGTAATATTCATGAAAATAACCACATTGGATGTTATGTACGGTTCCTAGCTAGTTCTTATTCTTCTCTAAATATTAGGAAAGTGCTTACATAAATTCTATAGTGTTCTGAATACAATCTAATATGCTTTTTCCATTTTTTTATTACTGGCATTGCATGAATCCCCGTGGTACCTATGAGAAGGTACCCACAGACACACCCAGTGTGTTACACCCCACCGACCTCCCAAACCCTGACTCCTCCCAGAGGGACAGCCTTTACATGACGTTTTCCTTGCCTAACTTGATGGTCATTTGGTTTTCTGGCTTATGTTTTCAGGCTAATTCCCTGTGTTTGTTTTCTTCTTTTCAAACACTTCTGCTTACTCAAAGATTCTATACTTAATGTCTCCGCTTTTAATCTCACTTTAAATGGGTGAAACTACGTTATAGACATCTGTGATTAGGTCATCCAAAGTGGTTAACAAATTCAGCCTTTGCTTCTGACAGGCAAAGTTCCCCGATGGCTGACATTTGTCTAAGATTAGAAGTCAGCCATCTTCAGTAACAAAACCTGGCCAATTCATCAACTCTACCTGGCACTGCATTGATGATTTCCTTGGGATCTTCACAATTCCTGTGCACATTACACTAAATTCCATACATTTATATATGTATATAGTCTATATATAAAACAAGCACACTCCATATGTAATCTTTATTTCAATCCATTTATAAGCTAGACTTAACACAGTCTTCAAACAAAGTTCTAATTTCCATATAAATATATTAGCGCATCATTAAAACCATGGCTGTCTCATTTTCCTGGGAGCAGGAATGCTTTAGTGTTTACGCATGTTCTGTACACAGAAGACTTCTCTATAGACTCTCTCGACAGGCGTACAATTGATACAGCTTGATGAGATCAGTGAACAGCAAAGCAAATGAGATCAAGCAAGACTGGCCTCAGAACTCTTATTTCTTCTATGATATCTATTTGAGACGGTTTAGTGTTTACATCAGCCTGAAGTGATGGATTGTCAGTTTTATTTTTTTAAGTTTGTTTCATTTATTCATGTGTATTCATGTGTGTGTGCACCTGTGTGAGTTTACATGCATCATGTGCTTGCAGATGACTATGGAGGCCTAAGCAAGAGCACCAGCTTCCCTGGGACTGCAGTTATAGTCTAGTGTGAGTGTAGTTGTCTGCAGAAGCAGTGGAAGCCCTTAACTGCTGAACTATTTCTCCATCCCCATGGGTAACTAATCTTCCCGCTGGGACAATAACCTGTTTTTTACACATAATTTTGACTTGCATAATCCAGAGTTTTGTGTTTCAGATTTGAGCTGTTGAAATGTAGATAAGAGAAATGGGATGTTTCAAGAAACTTTCTCTTCACTAAAGTGATGAGAAACTTATTGAATTTAAGTCAGTTTGATGACTTCATCACTATTGAGTAAGTTAGTGAAGCAGGTTTTCACTGTTGAAAATTGCTTGACAAGGGCTGGAGAGATAGCTCAGAGGTTAAGAGCACTGGCTGCTCTTCCAAAGGTCTTGAGTTCAATTCCCAGCAACCACACAGTTGCTCATAACCATCTATAATGAGATGTGGTACCCTCTTCTGGCATGCAGGTGTACATGCAGGCAGAACACTGTATACA